AACAAATTATTTCATAAAAAGAATAATAAAACTAAATTTGTTTCGTTCATAATATTATATATTTCCTCATTTTTATAATTGAAAATTAAATATAATTGAATTAATTAAAATATTGGTGGGAAATACAACTATTCATAAACAATTTACACTAAAAGATTATGTTTTAATAAATTTTCAAGGGAAACTTTTTTTATAATCTAAGAGACCTTCCAAATACAGATGTATGAAGATGATCATTAATGTTCCTTCTTAATTCCTATACTATATATGTTGATGGATCATCAGGTTATCTTGGTAGGATCTTTGCTTCATAATGGGTAAAGAAAAATTTATTATGTGATTATTTTTGTGCACACGTGTGACGGGTATGATTGTGTGAAGTATTATTGGTGATTAATCTCGGTTAGCAGGATCAATTATGGGTTTATAAGTTTCAGTATCGACTATCGACCTAGTGTCATACTTGAGAGGATACAGTCTTGGAAGTCATGGGCCATGAATGTCTTAGGGCCCAAATGACTTAATCCTCAATATAAATGTAAATGGGTGTCTTAGGGCCCAAATGACTTGAATTGATATAATTGATCGAGTGTCATCCTAGAGGATAAAAAACTAGTACAATTATTTTTTAGTTTAGCATCACACACTATATTTGATTTATTGATCACACTTTAAAGATTAAAAATGATTAAACAAGTCCTTTACACTACTTTCTTTAGAAATTAAGTGTAGAATGTGAACTATGTTCTACTGTGGTTTGAATTTTATATAATAAGCTTATTCAGTATCAAATTTTAGAAAAGTATAAATTTAGCTTGAAACTATATAGCTTAAGTTATTGTTTTAACCTGAAATTTGTAGGCAACCTACTAGCTTCTAGAAAAAATAAATAAGTTTTTTTTTTTTTATCTTGCAAGTGTTAAAAAAATTACTTTTGTCGCTTGTATATTACGAAATTTTATATTTGATTTGATTATTCTAATTTTATAGTTAATTGTTTTGATAGTAAAGAGTTGTTATATAAAAATAAATGTTAGGTGTTACAAAATTTATATTAAATATATTTATTGGTTTTCAATGAATGGTTATTGTGGTATGATAATATGGACTAAGAGTTTTTACTTTGTCTTAATTGTTTATAATAAGTTTGTGATGTTTCATTGATTCATATAGATTATAAAAAGATTTAGAGGAATTCTCTTTTTTTTTTCTCTCACTCGTTTCTAATTTTAGTTCGATTGACTTTAGAGAATTAGAGTATTTCCAAATTAGGTTATTAAGAAAGTTTCTAAATTTTTATTATTTTTTTGATAAATATAAGAGAGATTATAAATATCACTACAATAAGAATTGAATCAGATTCTCATGTTTCTAATAATCACAATTTTTTCCCATCCAATTCTTAAGATAACCCTAATAATATCATAAAATTAAGAACATATTTTTATTGAATTCTCTCCTTAGAGAAGATTGAGTTGTCTTCCAAGTTGGACAACTAATTTTTATAGAAGTACTCCAAAAGCTAGGTTCTTAAAAACTTTAATAAAAAAAAATAAAAGAACTGATACATTGGAGTAAAATATGAAGGATTGTTAAATGTAATGTAGAAGTAATGAGCCCACATAAAGTAAAATAAGAACTCAAATTGGGTTCTATGGTTAGAGATGGCCTTAACAGTATTTTGATGTTCCTGTATGATGACGAAGACTACTAAATCAACTACTATTAATTTCTTGCAACGAATTGTTTTACAACCATATCTTTAAAACCATAGACAGATTTATAAGTGTTTTTATGGTGTATCACTTTAATAATCATTGGATTCATTTCATTCATAAGAATATATGTAGTCTCTTCAAATTATTTTTTTTATAAATAAATTACATTATACTCTCTTGAAAAATATAAATATTATATTATTTTTTATATTAAAATATACAATTTAGTTAATTCAACTTAATGTTATTAATATAATAAGTTTGAGGTAATCATTTCAAATGTTTTAATATGAGTCAAATCTGTATAATTTATATATTAAATTTTTTATTATAAACTTTATTTATTTTGCATAATGAAATATTAATTTATTATTAATTCTTAATATTATCATTATTAAATATTTTAATTTTATAAAATATTGACGAAATTATCATTATTAAAATTATTGATGAAATTGATCTTTCATTTATTTCTTTGTTTTTTTACATTAGTGAAATTAATCATCTGTGATAAATTGATGAAAAGAATTATTCCAATAAAAATGCTTTAGTTTATACTTTAAATTAAAGTGTAAATTTTTAAATTTTAAAAAATAAATTGGAAATGAAAATTAAAATAACGAACTAAAATTATATTTTAACCTAATTTTTTATACAATTAATTCAATAAAAGAAATCACTTTAAACATGATTTTTTTAATAATAGTAATTTTAAATTAACAATATAAAAATCTTTTTATTATACTTGTCAGATTGAGGTAAAATGAGTCTCAATATTTTTATTTATTAAAAGTGTGTTAAAATTATCAATGTTTATTGAAATAACTAGTATTGCATCTAATTTTTTAATTATAAAATCTTGAGTTTGTAAAATTATTTAAAATATATATACATTAAATTAGATTGTCATCGTTATATACATGAAAAAACTTTTTAAGGTTTGGGATTTATAGATGATTGGAGATTAAATTTTACATGCACGTGTCAACATAACTATCAAAGGATTGGTGTCTATCTATCTATCTATATATCCATCTATCTCTCTCTATATATATATACAAGATATTTTTTTAAAAAAAATATTTTTAATTCTAAAAATAGTTATTAATTGAATTTTATAATTATTTCTCAATAATTTTTTAAGATGAATAATTTTAAAAAAATTATTTGTGCCAATAATAAATTTTTAAAGTTTAAATTTTTATAATGCTTGATTTTTTTTATTTCATTTATTATGTCAAAATCAAATATTACTAAAAAATAAGTTTATTTATTTACTTTTATATATATATATATATATTAAACGAAGTGAGTTGAACTTTTAAACTTACTTAATTAAGCAGGATAGAAAGAGACATGAGACATTTTATTACTCTGACTTTCAATATCACAAATATTAAATAATCATATAAATTTAAAAAATATATGTAAAATAAAAAAATAACATTACTACAAAACTAATATAATAATATTCTAAATTCTATTAAGGTGAATTATAAGATAAAAAATTTAAAAGATTTAAAAGAAAAAGATATATTTATATTCATATATTCTAATGTTAAGATCGATAATTATTTTTGTATTTTAAATAATTTGATATTTATTATTATTCTAATATTAATTAATATATTTTCATGTATTATTATGTTTAGGATCTTACTAATTTTTATTATGATAATAGTAGTTTATTTATATAAAAGTATTATAATATTATTATTTTAAATAATTTTACTATCATATAATTGATTTCAACTGTAGTCATTATAAAAGTCAAATGAATTTTATATATTATAAATAAAAATAATGATGATAAATTTTAAGTGATCTGGATTTTTTAGATGTTAAAGTTTTATGAGTTTGAGAAATATTAATTTTATAAAAAAAAATATTCTAAACAATAAGTTATTTCTTCATGTTAAAAGTTAAAATTTATAATTATTTTTCAATAATTTTTTCTTTAAAGTTGGATAATTTAAAATATCTTATTTGTTGAAGTAAATTTTAAAAGTTTCATTTTTATAATTCTTAGTTTTCGTATTATATTTATTGTGTCTAAATTAATTATTATTATAAAATTAAATTTACTTATTAATTTTTAATAAATACTATATATATATACCTTTTTAATTATTAAATAAAGTGAGTTAAATTTTTGAACTTACTTCGTAAGTGAAATGAGATGGAGCATTGGGATAAGACAAGATAAGACCAGACACAATGGATAGAGTAGGTTGAATTTTTGAATTCACTTAGATAAATGAGAGACGGAATGAGATAGGGACATATTTTCACTTCAACTTCTAATATCATAAATTTTAATTATATAGATATATAAATTAAATAAATATAGTATTACAACAGAATTAATAAAATAATATTTTACATTCTAATAAAATAATTTATAAGATAAATTTTTTTTAAAGATTTAGAAGAAAAAGATATATCTATACATATATTCTAATGTTAAGATAATTATTTTTATAATTATTTTTTAACAATTTTTATTCTTGTAAACTGGATAATTTAAAAATTCTTATTTGTTCAATTAAAATTTTAAAACTTTTTATTTTTATAATACTTGAACTTTTGTATTTCATTTATTATATATAAATCAATTATTACTAAATTAATTTTCAACATATATATATATATACATATATATATATATAACTTTTTTAACTATTAAATGAATTGAATTGAATTTTTAAACTCACTTTATTTATAAGACATAAGATATTTTTTTTAATTTGACTACTAATAACTTTTTATATTTTTTTTATCAAGATTTGACTTTCAATAACTTTTTATTAGTTCAAAGGAAGTATTAAAAAATAGTATTTATAAATATTATAAATGTAATGAATTTTTATTTGTATTATAGTTGTAAAATAATTAAAAATATTAATTATTTTTTTAAAATTATAAACATTAATTAATTAGTTGAGAAATGATTAAATGAACAGAAATAAGATTAATTTAGAAAAAAAGTTAAAATTATTTTAAAAAAATTAATAATTTTAATTAAATTAATTAATTTTTCTAATGGGTGTAATTTTGTTGAAATGATTTTATAATTAGAGAAAAAAAATTAATATATGCAACTTGAATACTTCTAATTTTTATACTTTTGCAAAATTTTAAAGAATTAATTATGTTACCTCAATATAAAATAATAATTTTATATAGGTAAAAATGAAAGTAACTAATGTAAAGCACGAACACGAGTATATGAGTATTGTGGTAGTTGCCCAAAAAATTAAGTTGTGTTGTTGGCACTTGGCAGTTTCCCATGTGGTGAACCTCACGCACCGTATGGGAACAAACATGACCCAATTGATAACTTCAGAGTGAGTTAAGAGTTTCACTGATCACAGTCACAGGTTGCTTTCGCACACCCCTTTTTTCGTGCGCAAACTGTTCCCGTTGGTCTTTCTTTCCCTCTTCACTGCAACCCCTGTTTTCACACTGTGCCATCATCTCCACAATCCAAAGCATTCCCAGGTACTCCACATTTCTCTTCTCACAAATGGGTCTCAATCGTTTTCCACAATTTCCAAACTTTTTTTTCCCTTTTAACAAATTCCTTAATATTCACAAATGGGTAATGTAATGCCCATCTTACGTTAACGCAACGGTTTCGACAATGACATTTTTTTTCCCTTTAATGTTTGATCAGACATTATCGGTGGGCAACTTAGAGATTGTGGGGTGTTGTTGGATGGGGTGGAGTTTTGTGTTTTTCGTCCAAGGTTGGATTTTTCGTTGTGGGTAATGATTGATTCATTTGCTGGGGGGTGAGCTCAAATGGGGGTTGTTTGTTTCGTGTTGTGAGCTCGGGTTAGGGTTTAGATTTGAGGATTTTGTTTCTCTTTGGATCTGGGGTAATGTGCTGAAGCTAGTATGGCAATACAGCTAGGCTCTTTGGTGGTTGTTTTAAATTGAAATTTATGTGTTTGCTTATGTGATAAATTAAGGTGATCTCACTTCATTTTGAGAATGTGGGTTGCTTTCTTGTCGTTTCCCATGTTGCCTTTTCTTAGTTATATTGGAGAGTGGACATGAGTTGTTTTAATTTATTTTTGAATATTTTTTTTATTCATGATTAGTCGACACCAGTTTCCGCCAGTATTATGTGTCTGCATTATCCGTGTTCCTTTTATTGCATTCAATTTTGTAGGCAAGGCTGCTAGTAAATTATACGTACATTATGTGTTAATTATTTCTATTTTTATTTTCACGTGGCCATAAAATTAAAGATTTATAATAATGGACAATTACTGAAGTATAACAAGTCTTGGATTAGCATCTAGTTTAACTATGTTGAATTGTTGATGCCTCCAACTCATTAAAATTATAAGGCTTTACTCAAGAACTGCTTCTAGTATTCATTCGAATCCGCTCAGCTTTGTTCTAGCTAGCAGATGTATGTTAAGGGTTGGCTTCATCTTCTAATACCTACCCATGTTTTCCCTTCTCTCAATTTTCCTCATTCCATTGATCCAACATGTCCTTGAAAAACTATATATGAATATTATATGCACCTATACAGCAGTTGCATGGTTCATGTATCAGTTACACCTCTCTGTGGTATTGAATATCTTGACATGGTGATCTTAAAGATGCTATGCCTTGTTGAGATTTGTGGGTATATTTTATTGTTGATACATATTTGAACTTTAAACTATAATGGATTGTGTTTCTTGAAAAAAACTAAGATTATCAACAACTACAATAAAGTCTTTTCTTGCTAGATGAGATCAAATAACAATTCTTTTGGAGAGGCCATTTTTAGATCTAAGTGAACTAGTGAAGTTGGATACCTAGTTTTACACTTATATGTGTATCTAAATGTTCTATTGTTTCAAATATTGATTGATCAACTGGTTTTTGACAGATGGCCTTGCAAACAGCTACTCCTCCAACTACTCCCAGTGCCCAAGTTGTTGGTAATGCATTTGTTGAGCAGTATTACCATATTCTTCACCATTCACCAGATTTGGTCTATCGGTTTTACCAGGATTCTAGTGTGATAAGCCGTCCTGATTCCAATGGTGTGATGACATCAGTTACAACCATGAAAGTAAGTTTCCTAATATTGCTCCTCCATGACTATTTTCTTTTAATTTTCTAAAGATGTTTCCTGTGATGATTAATTGGAAGAGAAAAAACATTGTAAATTGTAATTTGTAAAATAATACCATCTACAAGATTCTAAAGCACTTCTAATTCTTTTTGAACCCCCTTCTCTTCCATATTATATGCTTCATACAGCTAATTGGTTTATACTTCTATTTCTCTGTTTTTACAAAGTTGAGAAGGGTGAAACACTATCAATTTAGACTTTATTGTGCTCCTTTAAATTTTTAATAGATATATCTCAGGCTTTCTGGTGATCTCTAAGTCTGAGGGTTTATGGTGCAGGGCATTAATGAGAAGATTCTTTCGCTAAATTTCAAGGAATTTAAAGCAGAGATAAAAACGGCAGATGCTCAAAAGTCATACAAGGAAGGAGTGACTGTGCTGGTGACTGGATGCTTGACTGGCAAGGATAACATGAGAAGAAAATTCGCGCAGTCATTCTTTCTCGCGCCACAAGATAATGGCTATTTTGTTCTTAATGATGTTTTTAGGTATGTAGAAGACCATGAACCATCAGAACTGCCTCCAGTTAGTGGAGATGGTGATGCAGCTGCTGTTACTGTAACCCCAGTACCAGGCAAGACTATAATTAAAATTATTGTATATTCTGTTCTGGTACAAAATTTGTTCAGGAGTTGTATTCATGCTGTTCTCATTTGTTTACAGAACCCAGTCATGTTGCTGATTCTTCTGCGCCAGATTCCACAAATTCTCATGCGAACAAGGGTCAAATTGTTGCGGAGAATGCTTATGAGCCATCTAATCATCATGAGAGACAGATACCTGTTGAAAATGAAGACAATGTGGAACCCCGTTTTCAGTCTAATGGTAATGATGATTCTCAGGCCACAGAACTGGCTTCTTCAGCTCAAGAGGACGCACCAAAGAAGTCTTATGCATCAATTGTGAGTATTGCTACAAATCTTTCACTTACAAGCACTGTTCTTATTCAGTTTTAGAAGCTTGTTGAATTTGTTATAGGTAAAAGTCCAAAAAGGGAGTTCGGGACCAACTAAAGTCTATGTGCCTACTAATACTGTAAAGTCAGGGCCTAACAAAACTGAGAGCCAGGTAACTGAGTCGGTAGAATCTGCTGAAGTGCCTGATGCTGCTTTGGATAGTGTTAACGACCCTGAAAGTAGTGATGCTCATGAGGAAGGTACGTGTTCTTTGTTTCTTTTTCACATTTGTCATGCTTTGCTTTTCAGTTTGGAGAAAATGAATTTTAGAGCAACATACAATTTAATTTTGTAAAATCATTAAGTTGGCTGTTTGAAACTCGACCAAATATTTTACTGAAACATATTTGTGCTTCTAATAAACACATTCTTCCAACAGTTGAGGGGCACTCCATTTACATTCGAAATTTGCCTTTAAATGTGACGGTTGCTCAATTGGAAATGGAGTTTAATAAATTTGGACCCATCAAACCGGGGGGCATCCAAGTCAGAAGTAATAAGGTGATTATCAGGTCAATGAAGCATTCAAATTACCCTTTTTTTTCTTCTTCACTTCTAATGCAGTTTTGTTGGAAACACTATTTGTCTTTACAGCAGCAAGGATACTGTTTTGGCTTTGTTGAGTTCCTATCTCTAAATTCAATGAATAGTGCAATTCAGGTACAGTCCTCATCAGTTGATAGTTTAGATTTCTAGAATTTTGGCGTTTAGCCATGAAAGTTAATTATATTTATTAAATTGAAGCTGCTTTCAAATTTGGGAGTTATTTAAAGTTGGATGCAATTATATGTACAATTCATGAATCTGTCGCTGCTCTCAATAGATGGTAATGATGGTAATGACTTGGCATAAAAAGAATTATATATAGAAAATTATTTTAAAAAATTCTTACTTGAAACTTAAATGCGTTCTCTTGTTTACATTAGTCTTCTTGAGACAAACCTCAACCATCTCTGCATCTAGGTAGTAAGCCTACAACTCAGCTCCTTTGTAACTGACTCATATTCTAGGTAATGCATTGCTTCTACATCTAGCTGGTGGTAGTTTCTGTAATACACTTGTTTGACGTTGAGGTACTGGAATGAGTTGTGTCCCTTATTTTAACTTCAGTATGCATATCTTTGAAACAATAACAGGTCTTCAACAAATAAAAGCTGAAACATTCTTATGTTTTGTGGAAGACTAAAAAAGTTTGAAAAAATGTATCATAGTTTGGACAACTTTTGGACAGTACATATCTAGGGAAGAGATATGATACTCTTAATTTATGGATCTACTAAATTAGAAACAAAAACAAAATCACGAACATTCCTATCATTCTGTGATGTAATAAAATTCTTGGAGTTTAAAGTTTAATTGTTAATTCCTGAGCTGTATGAGGATGGTGCTGTATGCAAAAATTATGCATTTCCTCTTGGTACCAATTGAGGTTGACATTCATACTGTTATTAAAGAGAGGGGGTTAAAATGTTCTCCAAACTGAAGTTCTTCTAATTGATGATGTTAAGCTGATGAATTCATCTTATCTGCTTTTCCCTTCTGCTATTTTTTGTGTTTTTACATGTTTTTCCCGATTTAGTATTGTGCTTTTTATCTTTTCTCATCTTCACTTGATGAATGCATTTAACTTTAGTACATCATATAATGATATCCAATAGACAGACAACCTTGTTGGCCTTGCTGATGTACATCATATGACTTTTCAACACTGTAATTTGACCCAGCCTATGTCGGCATGATGTGAATGTCACTTATGGGTTAAGGAAAAATCAAAAGAGAAAGACAGCTAAAAATAATGCTGAATGTACTATTGATTGAATTTAATTTGTTGTTCAACACCACCCTATACTTCTATTATATTACTAATTAAATCATGTACTGGCATGAGTAGTACAATACAAGTCCAAGCCCACTAACAGTAAGTGCATTTTGGTTCCAGGTTGGCACCACAAAAAGCAACTTTTCATCATAGAAATCTGGAAGCTACAAAGTTGTGGTGCTTTCATCATGAAAAAATAATTGCTTTTCTTTCACTACATTATAAAACCAAACATACCATTAGAACAGAACCTATTAAAATAAGCAAATATACCAAGAAAGATATTCCCAGGGAAACTAAATATATCTTAAATATTCTCTAACAATCCTTCAAACTAAAATTTACTAACTTTGACTTGTTACAACTAGTAAACCTATAATCGGAGACAAAGGATGGTAGCCCTTATGCCAAATGACTTGGGTTATTAGCTAAGGTTATCAATAATGGATAACAACCTATGGCGATGTGCCAAAAATCCCCCCTTAACTTAAGGCGGACACTATGGTGGACAAAAAAAGTATAAATACATGTTTATAAAAACTTAAAAGGTAGCAAAATATATTAGAATCGTCATGAGTATACTAAAAACAGCAGAATCATATACTAAAATCTCAAAAGAATAATGTCATTATTCATCAAAGCCTCGTAATCCCATCACATAAAATCATGAACAAAATTAATTAAATGTTTCCATCCTATGTCTAAGGAAGCATGACTTTGATTTTCGGTGCTTGATATAGTCCTATAAGTGAGAAAAATAATTGATAATGACATTATCTTTAATAAAGAAACAAAGAACAAAGGAAAAGTGAACAGCATTTTGAAATTCTAAAATCAAACAATGAAGAGACAAAGAACAATAGCAGTCAGTGTCACAGAGAATGAGAGACAAAAAAAGGTAAGGAACATATGAAGAATGTAGAATCGGTAGAAAAAGGAAGAAAGAAATGGAAAGAATTAAAAAAAAGTTTTCTATCTCGTCAGCATTGTTCGCTTTAGTTCAAGCTATCAGCGAGGAGGGTGGTCAAAGAGGGGTCATTGGGCTTGATTGGCCACAAGTATGGAGGTTAAATAGAGAAAGAAGAGAAACCCTAGGTTTCTTTGTGAACATTAACAAGAGTTGAGAGACTGAGTGAAAAGTGTAAGTGATACTTGGGGCTATCTGAAGAAACAAAAAAAGAAAAAAAAAATCCACCGTGACTGCCATAAGCTGCAATAACACCATGGCCATGGTGGGTGCCATAATGCCATGACCCAGGCATTCAACACTAAAAATTTGTCAAGGTTACAAAGTCGCGTTAGATCCACCTATCACTCATCATGAATCTAGACATGGTTCCCAAACCAAGTTGACCCTCATGGTCCAAATTCAAAGATCATTAATATGACCTTCTTGGCTTTGGATTTTACACCAATACCTCAAAACTTGAGTTTTATGCATATGATACATGTCACATATCAACATGTCTCATACAATTCTCAATAACTTGTGTCTTGTTTCTCATATCTTAATTTGCACATCACGTGCCTTCAGAGCTCTCATTACACATTTATTTTCTCGAAGCTTGCACATCAAGTACCATCAAGATTCTCACATCATCTCACATCGCAAACACCACAATCCTTGTTATTAATTCATTTCATGTGTAATTGTGTTCTCATCTATACTCAAACATCTCTTATCACATTTTAAGATTCTCGTAATGTCACATTTTACAATACGCAACTATGACCTATGCACAATGTAAGCATAAAATATTGGAGTCAAGGTTGTTAATCTCTAGAGTTTATGTAATTTCGTTGAGATCCATAAACTCAAATTGTAACTCGTAAGAGTTTACTTAATATTAAAAAAAATGTTATAATACTTATAAATAACATAATAGCTCAACATTTTAACTCCATGTTAAAGTAAAATAGCAAATTACAATATTAAGGTAATAATGTTTAGTAGCAAATCATGCTGAATTTCACACAAGAGACATTCTTAAAATGACAAGAAATAAAAAACTAAGAAAAGATTAATTTTTGCTTTTATTAACAAAGGAGGCGAGATTGCTCTAGATTGGGCGAGATTGCTTCCGAATTGTATAAGTGGGGTTGACCAATCTTATAAACCTGACAGTTATTACGAGTTGACCACTCAAGATTGACAACCATGTATGGAGTTATATTAATCCTATAAAGTGACTTGATAGTGTAACCATAAAAGGATAAACTCTAATTAAGATGATATTGGAATTTATCCTAGCCATTGTTGTTGAGTCTAACCTTTATTTACGAATGTATCATTTTTACAAACTTCACACTTGAGATATCCAGTCCTTAGCATGAAAGGAGTGTGTTGGTGATCTCATAAGTCATATCAACTAATGATGTAGCAAAAATAGTGTAAATAAGTGAGGGACAACTTTTACTTTACAAACCGGTTTTGTGGAGTTAAGTTAGACCTAAACCCAAATTCTAAAAATTTTGATTTTGATTTAGGAACTATTTGACCAACTTTGGTTCATTTTGTAAATCACAAGGCACATGGTACAAGAAAAAGTTGTCTTAACTAAGAAACCAACATTTTCATTGGATATCAAGGCCTAGTATGGGATTTTGAAGTTCATGTATTGATATTTGAAAGTCTATTTCCTGTAACATCTTGGGTTCAAGAAGATAAAATATATTTTATTCTTTCAACTATTTTTTGGTTTGAGGATCTTGGTATCCAGAAGGCACAATAGGCTTCAACTAATCCAAGTCACACCTATTGGACCCATTTATGGGGGCAAAGCTCTCCCAATGGTTATTGTTTTCGACATTATTTCAAGGGAATCAAACTCCTTGTTACTTAGTTCAATAGGCGTTGATTATGAATGTTTGTTTAATTATTGGTGCTACTTTTACATGTTTCCCTTTGTATTCTTAGAATAAGTACAAGTCTAACTTGAATGAAACTCTTTAATTTCAACACTATGAATTTATTTTATTTTTAGACTTAATGTTTTATCTTTGTGACTAAATCATTTTTTTCTTTTTATTTATTCTTTGATTTAGAGGGTTAGCCTTTGCTGAATAACAAGGTTTTCTGCTTTGTGATCAAGTAGTCATTCATTGGTTCTAGTTGTGGACATAGCCTCTCCAGTTGTGTGTGTAAAGCTACACATACCTGACCTTCCCCAAGGCTGTGGAGGTTGGGAGTCATGTTCTATCATTTGCATTTTTTCTCATAAAATACCAATTCCTTGTGTTTTTTTTTGGCAATTAAGCCCTGGTCCACTGTTTTTGAACCCTCCCCACCCCTCTCTCCCTGCTTTTAGTTATATAATCTATCTAGAGTCCTTTCAATTGGATTCGTTTTTTTTTTGGCTAGTAGTGCAAGAACAATTAGTTTTTTTAATCCCTTGCTAAATATGGAGCAGGGTACATTGATGATGTAGTAGTGCAGCTGCTGGTCATCCAACCTGGGGAACCAGGTTTGAACCCTGAGTTCAAATAAGTGTTGGTTTTTGTTCAGTTTTAAATTGGGGAAGTAGAGAGATACGCCTAAAATAGAATTCAAAACGCTGTGCCATCTCTCTTCAATAGAAGGACCTAACTAGTTGGTTGGAAATATCTATAAGCATTTAGAACAGACTACTCTTCTATTGGGAATAAAATTCATGACGGTCATTTATTAGTCACACTGGCTTCAAAAGGACCAAAGTAATTCATAATGCTAGCTGCTAGAATGATTCAGTTTCTCTTCGGTTTTTGTTTTAATTATTACTGGAATGACTTGATGACATTTGCTTGCTGTGTCTGTAACATATTACTTGTAAATCTGGGATTTCCCAATTCTTTCCTTCCTCTCAGCCGAAGGGGAAAGAACATTATATTAGGCCAAAAATTGAGAAAATTATAATGTATAAAGTCATATAATAATAGTTCTAATTCTTTTAATTTCTATTAGGCCAATAGAATGAAATGCAGAATGATTTCCCAGCATAGTAAAACAGTTGACTGGTTGTTGTAATATGTATCGCCACACCTATGACATAATAATATACGTAAGTCTAAATTCTGTCTGCAGTTATCTGTGCTTTGTAAATGATTTTTTTCATTTGTTACTTCAATTTTGATGCACAAATTTTCAAATCTTTGTTCATTATTTAAGATAGTTAGTTTTCTTTCTCAGGCTTCACCTATTCCTGTTGGGGGGCGTCAAGCTGTAGTCGAGATAAAGAGAACCACTACACGAGGTGATTATTACAAATAAAATTGTTTTCATTCATTCTAAAGAACAAAAAAGAGAGAATTAGCTGCTTTTATAATAATTAAAAGAGCTCCATTATAGTTGGTAATTCTATTTGTTCTCTTTCAGTTGGCAGTGGCAGTGGCAGTGCCAGTACCGGAAGACCTAGAATCCCACCCGGAAGGAGTGGGTTACGAAGTGACTCTTTCAGGGGTCGTGGGAATTATGGAGGCGGTCGGGGCTATGGTCGAAATGATTTTGGAAGCCGTGGTGGCGACTTTTCTGGTAGAGGTCGCGGTCATGGAGAAGGTTATCACCAAGGGAGAGGGAGAGGCGGCCGGTCAAGTGGACAAAAACAAAATGCTGTTTCCAACTGAAGTACTAGATGATTTTAAGGAGGTTGTTCTGTGACCCCATTTTTTGGTCAGTTACAAGCATGCAAATCCATGGATTTATCTTGCCAGTTGCCACCCTCAACCTTCCAAAGTTTATCTCATGTTTCTTTCACTGCATTTGCACAGTTGTAGTATTTCTAGTTGTTATTGCTATGATCCTAGTGGGTTAGTAGTGACCAGGAGGAATAGGTATACTTTTTTTAAAAGAAATTGAAACAGATGCATTGATTGGAATTGGCATTAGATTAACCATCAGTCTTTTTTTATTTGTTGCTATGGTGCAACATTATCCAAATTGGGATTTTAATTTAACAAGGGTTATTATTAGTTCCACATTTGTTTCTTATTTAGTTGTAAAATTTAGGAATGGCATGGCATGTGTTAAAATACTGGTTTTATATATTTGTGATGTCTTCTTGGAAAGGCGCTTCAGGATGAATTAAATGGAAACTGGGTGAATAACAGAGAATGTGGTAAAATGGTGTGATCACTATTTGCATTTAATCTTTCAAAAGCTGCATATTTCCAAATGGTGTCTACTTGAAAATTAGATGAAAATGCAATATTTATTAGTTGGATGAGATTTAAATCTGTTATGGCTCCTCCGTTACATACCGAATAAAAAAAATGATAATTATGATTTGCATGCAATCCATGCATTGTATTTATGAAAATTGACAATTTAATGGAATTGACTGAATGCATACAAGTACAACAGGCTGAATATGGTATGAATTTTTTAAGTAGCAAAGGTCTCTTGGTACAAAGAGTTAATATTATTTTATTTATAAGGTTGATCAACTCATCCAGCAAGTGTCCAACACGTTTTCTTCAGCTAAATGACGCAATTTCTTAGTCCCAAAGCGAGCAATTTTAGCAACATGCATTTAGTGACGAATTAAATTAATAATCGAACACGTGAAACAATGCACAACTTGACAAATGAACCATTCATCGGTTTTGAAATTAGTATCTTTTATGTAAGGTTTCATATGAAAAAATATCTTCGCAGAGGAAAAGTTATTCTTACGATAAGTTTATGGTTCTTTCAAACAAGGCTAACTATGTTTGATCTCTTATCACTTTTGTCTTAAAAAATACACACTAATCAACAATCAATTTACTATTTAAAACCAAAAATCAGGAACAGCTGAAAGGTGTTGTCTCTAGTATGTTTGTTTTGAATTTTTGTGACAAGACGTCAAGTGGAAGTTGTTGCTTGTAACTTGCACATAAATTTAAGATTTGGATGTGAACAAATTGAGCAACGCGTGTATAAAACGCCCAACCGAACACGCATCTATCTTCTTCTCCTATTATTTTCATTTCTCAAATGCTTTATTCGAATACTCAAAAAAAAAAAAACTTTGAAAATCAATAAATAAAAAATTAAAAAAAAAGAGAGAAATATGCTTAAGAAATAAACACTTTTAAATACACCTCAAGTAACAACCATACAGTTTTTATTTTAGTATTTATGCCTAAAAATTTTAGGTTTTAGTTTCTATATGAATACTTTTTTATATTTTAGTCCCTATATCTTTATGAGTTAATCATCTATATACTGTTAGTATAAAATTTTTTTACACTAACAATCAATCATATCTATTAATAGTGTCTTTTATTTTAATTTAATTAAATAAACAAATGACATAACACTATTAACAGATCTGATTTGTTGTCGGTGTAAAAAAAATTTTACACTGACAATGTATAAGTGATTAACTCTATCTTTATTTTGTGACAGTTTTATTTTATATAGTGAAAAATTAATAATAAAAACAAATATAAAAAGTAAAATAAATTGGTCGTACATATACTAAAATATACTAAACTTCGTAAGTGTAAATATTTCACGAAAGAATTATACTCTCTATAAATATCTCATTAATAATTTCAGTTGTATTAAATATTGAAGGAAAAGATAAGTGTAGATTATTTTCTTAAAAAAAAGAAAAATTGATTTGAAGTTTTAGAATGGAATTTTGATTTATCTTAAAGTAAATAAAAAAAGAAAATGGATATATTTATTTATGTTTGGAAATGAAAAGAGAGGAAAAAGGTGGGAGTGAGAGGAGAGGCTAAACTCAACTGGGTTGAAAAGTAAGAAAAAGGGAAACAGCAAAGCAGGAATGGGTGTGA